GAGGCTGTCTGATTGGCTCCTGAGCTCCTGTTTGGTTGGTGTGAACGGCTGGAAGGTTGGAGTCAGACTGAGGGGGAGAGCTGGAGAAGAGGAGGAGGAGCCAGCTGAGTGCTGATTGGACTGACGGACAGCCCCCTGAATGACTGACAGCTCGGAGACGGGAACCAGGAGCTGCTCCTGGGTGGGTGACGGAGAGCAGCTGCTCTGATGGGATCTTCTGAGCAGAACAAAGAGCTGTGATGATCCGGAGGGCAGCAGGTGTTTGATGTTGGGCGTCTGCTCTGCTTCAGAACCACATCACAGACGGACGCATGACAGGAAACACAAAGGAGCCTCTGACTGCATCAGCTCTACCATCTGCAGGACGCGCAGCAGCATGTTTGGGTCACGGTTCTGGACCAGTCCAGCTCTTCCCTTCTGTTCCAGACCCTCAGCAGAACATTCTGATGTTTAGAAGGAAGAAATGCGAGCTGACCCGTAAGATGTTTCTCCATCCATCGTCTCCTCAGGTCACAGTGACCCGGTTCCTGTCTCTAGTCAGTGAGACCCATTTATTCTAACATTCCTGGTCCTGGACCGCGGCAGGAAGTCCCAGCACCCCGACAGATGGGGTCAGCAGTCACGGTTTCCTCTGAACTGATTCAATAAACATCGTTTGTTTTCTTATTCATTACTGGATCCTCCACCTGCCGGATCCAACTGCTCCAAGGTTCTGTTCCAATGTTGATCCAAACGTCTTTCAGCTCCTGGTTCTGATGCAGAAGGAAGAGAGAAGCGATTAGTAAAGATAAAAAACTCTGATGGTTAAAAACCCAACGTCTAACGGGGAGGTGTCCTCTGGTCTCTGCTGGTTCTTGGATCCTTTTGGGGTTCCTGTTGGGTCTGGATGTGTGGATCCAGAGATTCCTGAGGATTTGGAGGTCTTTGGGTTCTGTGGCGTTCCTTGAAGGAAAAGTCCGATCATATTCAGGATCAAAACTTCTAAAAGTGCTTTAAATGCGAAAATACAGTGGAATCTGCTTATAGTGGAACGTTGGTATTCCATCCTGTTCAATAAATGATCAGTGTTTTTAATTCAGAGTCATTTTCATGTGAATGTGCTTTACTGGAGGCATCCATGTTTGTCAAAGAACTCTACTGCCACCTACTGGTTAGTGACATTGTCACGGTGCGGTATCGGCTGTTGATCAAGTCCCAGTGCTGTATCTGGTGTTTGTCACAACGCGCTATTATCCAAGTCATCTTGAAAACATTCTTCTTCCAAATGTTGGCTACATATTACGGGTTTTTTCTCTGGCCAGAAGTTCGATGGCAAATCCTCCCTCTTCAAGTTGGCGATCCAACGACCAACCCGTCCGTGGAGGATCAGGAATCAGAAAGGTGGAATAACTCTTTCTTTCACTTTTACCCGATGTATTCCAGCATCCAGCTGCCATGCACGTGGGCATTGTCAGTTTCACTATAGCTCTGGTGAATTTCAATGGTGAAGTCCTCTGGAAATCTTCAATAATTGTTGTTGATTGCAGATGTGTCTAGTAGTTCCCATTGATTTAGCTTGGAAAGCGGGGAGAATGGCGCTAGGCTTACCGCACCGTGACAGAGTCAGCGATCGCAATGAAAATTATTTTTACTTTTTACTGATTAACATTAAATTATTTAAATCACTGCAAACGTTTTAGTTTGAGGAATAAATAATGATCCATTGATTATTCCTGCTGACCGGCCTTTTCCTTTATGCAGTGATCATCTACCATTGAAGAAATAAACCTGTAAAGTTATAGTGGTCACAACAGGCTATGGAAAGCCGGTTTGATATTTATTAGTCTGACTGAAAATGTATTCCTGATATCTGGAAAGATATTTTTGCTTTGTCAAACTGACCATTTCAAACAAAATGACATTCTACACATCTAGAATAAACATTCTGGACATTTTAGAAGCTAATTTCAGATATTAATATTCCTAATATTACTGGTCAGCATTTGTCTTACTTTGATTATAAAGAAATGTATTTCAGATATCAGAAACAAATATTCATTCAAGCTGAATTAATTAAATAAATCAACATTTCTAGGTACATAAAACTTCATTCTTATTAGTATAATTCAGTTTTTTACTTTCTGAAATTCAGTTTCTGCAGAACAAATATAATTTAGAAAATATATTATTATAGTTCAGTCTAGCGATCTACAAATGGAACAACAGAGAGTGCTTTTAATAAATGTAAAATCGGCCTGCCATAGACCTTTATATAAATTGATTAAATAACTTGAGCAACAATCTGATCAATCTTCCTCTCCTTTGCAGCTCTAACGCTGTTTCTGTCTTTTAAACATTCTCCATTTTTTACTTTAATTCTAGATTCAAATCTCTAGTTCCAGTGGGGTGAAATAGGCACTTCCTGTTGTCATGGTGACTCGTGGAATCGGTGCCCCACTGATATCGGCTTTTCATACTTGTTACGCACGTGTTAAGCTCTGAGTGTGTTTATTTCGTGATTGAACTAAATTACAGTAGCAACTCAAGAGTTCCCGAATAATTCAGAGATAAATGGTAAAGAGAACATTTATTAATGATTAACATAATTTATTAAAGTTTAAAAAATCATTTATTAACTCCATCTAATTACTAATGAGTGTATTAAGCCGACTGATGTTAGTTCAGGGTAAGTGAATGATGTCTATAAGGCGTCACCTGCAGACTGAATTAAAATCAATGTGGGTCTAAAACTATGACTAAGATCCTCAGACTGAAGCCAGAATAATTATGTTATTGATGTTTGTCAAACCTGTTACTGGTTTAATATGTTTGATGAAAACTTTTTATGCTGGTTTTATTAATTCTAACAGCATTTCTTATATTTTTAAGAAAATTTCTGAACTTCTGATGTCTTTCTACCACTGAAATACGGAGTGCTCAGAGTTTAGCCTTTTTAAGGAATTCCTCCCAGGTTCTGGTCCAGACCCAATCAGTCCTTAGAGAAGGTTCTTCTAGATCTGCTAACAGACGCCAAATAACCAGCTGGAAGGTTTTAACTGATAATCAGCACAGCGAGGAGATGGAAACTTGATGGTGGCTGCAGCTTCGGACCAATCAGCTCCTACTGATACACAACAACCAGGTTTATTGCTCAGCTTAACTTTATTCTTACAAAGAAAAAAACAACAACCATAAAACTAGGAGATATTTGACATTAAAACATCTCACAGAAAAAACTTTAAAACTGAGAAAGGGTGAAAAGTGAGCAGGATGGATCAGGAGCAGAAGAAAGGTCCAGAATCTATTCTGCGTCTTTTGCGGCTCTGCTGCTCGAAGAACTGCCGGATGTCGTCAGAGGTCACGACCTGCAACGAGAGAGCCACAGTCAGTCGTTAGCGTTAGCCCGAGCCAGACACCCTGAGAAACAACAAGGGACCCGCCCCTCAGGTGTAGAGCCCCGCCCCCAGACCTATTACTAGAACCCACCTTTCCTTCAGCTGCAAACGTCTGCAGGAAGTCCTTCAGTTCAGTTTTCATGTCGTTGTAGCCTGGAAGACAGAGACCTTCAACAGAGCTGCATGGAATCCTGGGAGCTGTAGTTCTGAGTGTGTAGCTGTAGTTCTGAGTGTAGCTGTAGTTCTGAGTGTAGCTGTAGTTCTGAGCGTGTAGCTGTAGTTCTGAGCATGTAGCTGTAGTTCTGAGCGTGTAGCTGTAGTTCTGAGCATGTAGCTGTAGTTCTGAGCATGTAGCTGTAGTTCTGAGTTTGTAGCTGTAGTTCTGAGCATGTAGCTGTAGTTCTGAGCATGTAGCTGTAGTTCTGAGCATGTAGCTGTAGTTCTGAGTTTGTAGCTGTAGTTCTGAGTGTAGCTGTAGTTCTGAGCGTGTAGCTGTAGTTCTGAGTGTAGCTGTAGTTCAGAGTGTAGCTGTAGTTCTGAGCGTGTAGCTGTAGTTCTGAGCGTGTAGCTGTAGTTCTGAGTGTAGCGCTAGTTCAGAGTGTAGCGCTAGTTGAGAGTGTAGCTGTAGTTCAGAGTGTAGCTGTAGTTCTGAGCATGTAGCTGTAGTTCTGAGCATGTAGCTGTAGTTCTGAGTTTGTAGCTGTAGTTCTGAGAGTGTAGCTGTAGTTCTGAGCATGTAGCTGTAGTTCTGAGCGTGTAGCTGTAGTTCTGAGTGTAGCGCTAGTTCAGAGTGTAGCGCTAGTTCAGAGTGTGTAGATGTAGTTCTGAGAGTGTAGCTGTAGTTCTGAGTGTAGCTGTAGTTCTGAGAGTATAGCTGTAGTTCTGAGTGTAGCTGTAGTCCTGAGAGTGTAGCTGTAGACCTGAGTGTAGCTGTAGTTCTGAGTGTGTAGATGTAGTTCTGAGTGTGTAGATGTAGTTCTGAGTGTGTAGCTGTAGTTCAGAGTGTAGCTGTAGTTCTGAGTGTGTAGATGTAGTTCTGAGAGTGTAGCTGTAGTTCTGAGTGTAGCTGTAGTTCTGAGAGTATAGCTGTAGTTCTGAGTGTGTAGCTGTAGTTCTGGGAGTGTAGATGTAGTTCTGGGAGTGTCGATGTAGTTCTGAGTGTGTAGCTGTAGTTCTGAGTGTGTAGCTGTAGTTCTGAGCATGTAGCTGTAGTTCTGAGTGTGTAGCTGTAGTTCTGGGAGTGTAGATGTAGTTCTGGGAGTGTAGATGTAGTTCTGAGTGTGTAGCTGTAGTTCTGAGTGTGTAGATGTAGTTCTGAGAGTAGCTGTTGTTCTGAGTGTAGCTGTAGTTCTGAGTGTAGCTGTAGTTCTGAGTGTGTAGATGTAGTTCTGAGTGTGTAGATGTAGTTCTGAGTGTGTAGATGTAGTTCTGAGTGTGTAGATGTAGTTCTGAGTGTGTAGATGTAGTTCTGAGTGTGTAGCTGTAGTTCTGAGTGTGTAGATGTAGTTCTGAGTGTGTAGATGTAGTTCTGAGTGTGTAGCTGTAGTTCTGAGAGTGTAGCTGTAGTTCTGAGAGTGTAGCTGTAGTTCTGAGTTTGTAGCTGTAGTTCTGAGCATGTAGCTGTAGTTCTGAGCATGTAGCTGTAGTTCTGAGCATGTAGCTGTAGTTCTGAGTTTGTAGCTGTAGTTCTGAGTGTAGCTGTAGTTCTGAGCGTGTAGCTGTAGTTCTGAGTGTAGCTGTAGTTCAGAGTGTAGCTGTAGTTCTGAGCGTGTAGCTGTAGTTCTGAGCGTGTAGCTGTAGTTCTGAGTGTAGCGCTAGTTCAGAGTGTAGCGCTAGTTGAGAGTGTAGCTGTAGTTCAGAGTGTAGCTGTAGTTCTGAGCATGTAGCTGTAGTTCTGAGCATGTAGCTGTAGTTCTGAGTTTGTAGCTGTAGTTCTGAGAGTGTAGCTGTAGTTCTGAGCACGTAGCTGTAGTTCTGAGCGTGTAGCTGTAGTTCTGAGTGTAGCGCTAGTTCAGAGTGTAGCGCTAGTTCAGAGTGTGTAGATGTAGTTCTGAGAGTGTAGCTGTAGTTCTGAGTGTAGCTGTAGTTCTGAGAGTATAGCTGTAGTTCTGAGTGTAGCTGTAGTCCTGAGAGTGTAGCTGTAGACCTGAGTGTAGCTGTAGTTCTGAGTGTGTAGATGTAGTTCTGAGTGTGTAGATGTAGTTCTGAGTGTGTAGCTGTAGTTCAGAGTGTAGCTGTAGTTCTGAGTGTGTAGATGTAGTTCTGAGAGTGTAGCTGTAGTTCTGAGTGTAGCTGTAGTTCTGAGAGTATAGCTGTAGTTCTGAGTGTGTAGCTGTAGTTCTGGGAGTGTAGATGTAGTTCTGGGAGTGTCGATGTAGTTCTGAGTGTGTAGCTGTAGTTCTGAGTGTGTAGCTGTAGTTCTGAGCATGTAGCTGTAGTTCTGAGTGTGTAGCTGTAGTTCTGGGAGTGTAGATGTAGTTCTGGGAGTGTAGATGTAGTTCTGAGTGTGTAGCTGTAGTTCTGAGTGTGTAGATGTAGTTCTGAGAGTAGCTGTTGTTCTGAGTGTAGCTGTAGTTCTGAGTGTAGCTGT